TTATGCACGCGAAATTATATATATATATTATATATTTATATATACGATATTATCGTAAATGCCGGTGAAGTTTTTTTACGAGAAAGTCCTAAAAGTATATATGCGGTCGAGTACGACCATGAGCGCGTATATTGATTATAATAACTTGCGATTCCTACTGTGGAAGTGAATCTTATATATCCTGGTAAGATCCTGGTGGTACAGTCTCTCTCTTTCGTGGCTGACACGTGATTTATTGAAATAAATATACGCCGTCGAGTTGCAGTGACGTGTGATGTACGTACACATGGCACGCCATGATCGTTCTGTGTGTGGTACAATCACGCACCTGTCTCGGTATCCACACTATCGAAACGCATTGTGGTTACATATTTTAGATAATACTTATCATTATTATTATTACAATTATTATAATTAATACTATTGCTATTATTATTGTATTTGGCAGGGTTACGACACATTAAAACCGAAAAAAAACGAAGTGATACGAAGTGTGTCTATTTATATTCCTTCCGATCAGATCCTATATGCAAAATTAATTTAATTTATAAATATCTGTTTAGATAATTAATTCTTCTACATAAAGTTTTATATTACTTAATTATTTTAATTTGATGTTTTAATACGTGCAAAAATTATTTCTCAAGACAGATTGTCGAATATTATTGTATAAACGCATCTAGTCCATTTGTATTGTTTTTTGAGTAGTAGATTCTAAGACAAATAAATTCATGGACGATTAAACGCTGGAAATATTTTCTGACAAGTTGGCTACAATACGATCATTAGACTGTTTTCCGCGGAGTATGTAGCGTCTCAAGACGCAATATCTCTGAGGTAACCGTGTATTTGTCTCGCACAGCAACGAGCCTTTCTGCACGCTGGCATTCTGCTAACAATAAGTTGTAGGTAGGTAGGTAGTTTCCGTACTAGGTAAGTACAAATCCTACCGTATGTATATACAGTATATATGTGCCTTTGCGAGAGAATTTGTAGTTCGAACGGTGGCTATATATATAACCAAGGCTATAACTTAAGCGAAATATCGCCGTTGCTGATTCCGGTCTATGACAGAATTCTCTCAAGTCGAGGCGCAACCCTCGATATCAACTGTCACAATGAATCTCCTTGCATTTTCTTCGAAAAAAATGCGATTGGTTTATGCATACTGATAAGATCTTCGGTATTTGAAATTTCAGATTTTTCAAGCTACAGACAGATTAAAGATTAAAACGAGATAGCTTCTTCGAGATTTAAGTTTCCTCGATTTACGTATTAAAATAAATTAAAATTTAATTATGATTCCCTTTTTTATGTAATTCTGGTAATTGTCTTCTACTCTTTATAATTAGTTAAATCAACTACTTGTAAAGACAACATACAAAGCACAATCATATTTTATATTTTTTCATCGAAAAACAGAATGTAGTT